GCGAGCATTCAATGAACTGTTTGTTTTACCATTGTTGTGCTCGAATCAAATTCTTTCAATATTCCCAGATAACACTTTTACGTAAAGAAAGTATTATACTATTTGTCTCATTGTTTATCTTTATATACCCCTTCCTCTACTTCTATCAAAGTTTTTTTTTGAGGCAATCTAGCTTACTGATAATTTCTACAAAGCTCTGAATTCACGCGAAGTTACATCAAATTCCTTAAGATAAACGATCGAGACAATGAAGAGGTTAAGTTCTGCATAACACCTACTTCCAGATTATATCGGTCAACTGTTATGTGGAAAGTTGGTATTCGCTACAATGCCAATTCAGGCATGGTAACGATCTGTACATTTTTTTTTCGGATTCATTTTTCAAACTGGATATAAAAACTAGAACATACTTACATGAACTTATAAAAAAAGATTCGAAAACATATTTTATAAACAATTTAGGCAAAATTTCTATATTTGTCTGCAACATACTTGTATATGCACCCTGTTATACTAGTACAGTGCGCCCATAAAGTAACGTCGAAAAAATCATCATGAGTTAGCTGAATAAAATCATTAAAAACTCCCGAAACAGGTCGATTTTCCATTATGATTCATTGTTTTTGAAATTGTACATCTATGTGCAAGCTGACCTACTTTGGAATAATGATGTCGTCACCGGTATTTCAAATAGAACTTTAGTGATTACAAAAATGATTACAAATTGCCTCATTCGGTGCAGAGAGTTGGCAATGAAATCAAAATTACATGTTATTCAATAATAAAAATGATAATAAGGTTCATGCTGGCTAGTCTGCCTCAAGATGGCAGAAATCTTGGCTGGACAAATGCAGAAGACTGTCTTGGCTCATTCCGTTGCTTAGCGTACATGATTCTCGGACCCGATGATCAACATACCTCACGGTGTGCTGCGGAATGGTAATTGGTTGAAAATGGTGTCGTGCCTCCTTGAGTTTGTCGTAGCTTCGAGTGCAAGGCTTTCACCTCTGGTGAAAAAATAATGATAATCATATCCTACAAAAATCAAATATCCACTTATCCATGCACACAAATATATACAAAAACAATAATAACCAAAACTGGTATAGTACATTGGTTAAGGCTTCCGCAACCGAGATTTTCAGTGTTATAATCTTCATTCTGGTTTGAAGGCCGTCGTAATTTGGAACTCTATCCTAATGTTTTGCCACCACGAGTGGCTGGCTCCTTCAGAGGTCTATTTATCTTGATGATTCAGCGATGACTGGTGATTTCTAGTTCTAGTTGTATTTTTCTGATGGGCTTGAACACTGAAGCATAACATAGAGACAGTGTTCAATCCACTAGGAAAATACAACAAAGCCTGAGATCTGCGAAAAACAAAAGAGATCCACTATCAGCTGCAGGGGTGTATCGTATACCATGCACCTGTGGAAAAGTTTATATCGGTACCACCAAAAGATCGATGGGTACGAGGCTGAGTGAACATCGAAGAAACTGTAGATTAGGTCAAATAGACAAATCGGCAGTAGTGGAACACGCGCCTAGTGATGGAGATCACACGATACTGTTTGAAGATTTGGAAGATTTGGAATCTCATACTGAAAGATGCTATGGTGGCAACAGTGCAATGCAATGCCACGTCATCAATAGGTAATAACACTTCGGCCAATACGCATCAACAAAAAAGGCGGGCTACCTGAGTCAACGTAAATGCAACCTACGAACTAGAAATCGCCGAATCATCAAGATGAATAAACTTCTGAAGAAGCGAGTCATTGGCGAAACGTTAGGATACAGTTCCAAACTACGACGTCCTTCAAACCCGAATGAAGATTATAACACTGGTATAATATTAAGCACTAATTTCTCAGAACTATTATTGCATTAAAACGAAAACATTGTTGTCAAGGTTGTGATTCTATATATTTTATCTCGTCATTCCTTCTCATCTGTTTAGTATAATTTCTGTACACCACTGCAAGAAACACATTAGGGCAAAAACGTCAGTCATTTGTGAGAGTTTAGTGCCTAATATTTTGGAATTATAGTATAACACGGTCCGTAATTATTTAGAACCCCTAACATAAAAAACAATAACCTTTCCACTCACTTGGATTTATCCTGTGCAAGAAGAGAAACCAGTTAGTACAACTTCAATTCTTTCATACTTTTGGATACTGAAATATCATTCGCAATTTATGGAGTCTGAAAATGTTCATAGCAGTTAAATAGGGCCCGTAGACATATTCAAAATGTTTGGCAAGAGACTGTACAGGCATTACAAAAATGAGTTACTATACCTCTATCCAAAATCTGTCTACGAGTTTCTAATAATTTCAGTTTAGCATACGCCTTTTAAAGAATAAATGTCACGTGGTGAGAAAACTGTAGCTTACTTATTATTTATAAATATGCCTACATTCTGACAAGTCAGTTTTCCTTCAATTGTGTTTCTAGATCATTTCAATTTACTGGCAAAAAAAGACTCAGATATATGGATTAAAATCATTTGATTCGGATCTTCATACATTTTGTATTGAGATTCCAATATTGTTTCGAAACTGGAGAAAGGTAGATTTGGGTAATATCTGCTTATGATTCAAAACATTTACAAATGTACATGTACAGAAATTTTGAATTGAAGGGTCTAGTATTGAACCTTGTACGACTCCCTGTGCTGTACTTTTGCTAGAATATAGAATACCATCCAGTACCACTCTTTGAGACCGTCCGCTGGGATAGTTTAAAAAAAAAACTTTTGTGGGCTAATCGAGTCCTATGAAGTGATTTAGCCTCACTGTAATCTAGCAATATCAAGATTCCACTTTAAGTTTGACTATTGAGTAGCGTAGTACCACAACTATACCCCGGTCGAAATCCTAAGTCTACTGAAGGGATAACGTTGTATTTTTTCAGGTGAAATTCGAAAACCCGTTCGACTAACTTTGATTGGGTTGGCAGAGTTTTAATTGGTCTAAGATCTTGGAACTGGTTGTCTCTTTTTCCATAATTTCGGATACACTCCATTTATTAGATAGCCATTGAATATGTGGGTTACGTAAGGTATAATAACAGGACACAATATTCTTAGAAAAAAGTGACATTTATCTGATCTGCATCACTCGCAAAATCATCTGAGAGACCCATTCCTTGATAATTGGTTCAAAGAATATTTTTTTATTAAAATCAGTTATGAGATTGTTGGCATAATGGTTTATTAAAATGTGGTCAAGAGTGTTCTTTACATTTATTATCTTCAGAAAATCATTATTTATCTCTTTTGATTGATTTGAGATTCGAAGTCACTTCAATTTTTATTTTCAGTTAGGGTTCGTCAGTTTCTGAACGATATGTTTACATGATCATCCATCCAATAAATTCCGAAAATTGTTGGAGAAACTATTTGTAGCTGTCAAGTTTTAGGCGACAGCGATATTCGAAATTGTATTTTCAAAATTAACTAGGAAAGCATTAGCGTCGAATTGATGGGAAGGGGGTGATGAATGACTCCGATTCCTATTTTCTCTGGACTGACTTGCGCTGTCAGCCATAGTTGTTCTCAGGTATTATCAGAGGTGAGCATAGGTATTATCTTTGTTGGTGACTGATTTTCTTAATGAAGACGAATACCTCTTGCTGTTGCACCTTTATCTTTCTGCATGAGTTTATATGCGGAAATTGCGATGAAATTATTAGATACAGCGTCAGTCAGTTGGGTTTCAGTTGAGCCTATCATATCATGATCATTCTCAGAACTTAACTCTTGCACATCAATAATTTTCATTATAATCGAAAATAAATTTAAGCATGGAATATTACTACATACTAATTGTTATCAGTATTACTCTTTCAAACCGATCAAAAACAAGCCATATATTTTTAACTTTGATCAAAGCACTTTCATTAATGATATTTGCCCTTTGGCCATACCGTTTATTTTTCTCAGCATCGAACATTTTCAAAAAGGTAAAATACCACCCCAATGTGATAAAATTCTTCTCGTCCCTTACATACCTCGAAAGTTTGAAATGATAATTTTTCTAGATCGGTGGATAAGAAGAGATAAGGCTTCTAGTGCCTGTTAAGACACCTATAGCCCGTTAGACTTTCTCATGATATTATCTGAAATGCAAAGTCTATACTAACAAACCTGATAATATTCGTGACCTGAGAAACTGAATCAGGTAATAAATATAACACCCGTTGTGTTACAGAATATTCGATATGATGAAGTTAATACCAGAGTGGATCATTGTTTAGAGGTCAATTACTATGCTTCTTTATTTGTTATTGGTAGTGTTTTCAGTAGCTGCATAACAACGTAATTTCGTTCAATAATATTCATTGAGTTTATTCTTCTTTCATTATATCTTTCGTATATCTTTTCAGTTGAAATGTTTTAAACATTTTTTCCTGTTGCAATTTGTTATACATTGAAAGGGGAATATTTTGAGGAGAGATTAATTTTTGGGAAAGAAATGTTTTGGCTTTTTACTTCTCCATCTTCATACAAAAAAATGGATGAATCTTTCAAAGAAAGAAAAGAAGCAATGAATTTCAAAAAATTAACTCTATATAAAACTGTGTATTCATGCAAAGGAGTAAAGGAGTAACTTTCAGACACAAACTGGAAGAGTAGCTACTCTCATATAAACAATACATCAAAGTAAAATACAAAAACTCTTATATGACTTATACAAAAAAACACTTTTCTCTATTTAGTTTGTATTCCAATCATTCGTTATGAAATCGAATCAGATATCATTCACAGGATTGCTACACAATATAGTAAATGAAAGAGGTAAAATTTTACTTACATGGAACACTCTTATAGAATGATCATTTCATTTTTTATACAGTTTTCACTTAATCATATCAATTTCAGAATCATGTCAAATTCAAAATTGTCAAATAAACAGCAATATTGAAATATTATGATCTATTTCCAGAAAATATTTCAAAACAAAATTGCAATTTTAATATTTATTTATTTTCAGGTATACCAATCCGTAGAAGACCTGAAGAAATTTGGCAACTTGAACACCAATTACCCCTTATCACAACTAACGATTTCGTTGGGATTTTTCTTGGTATATTTCTTGGAAGAGTTATCTCACTGGGTTATCACAAGAATACCGGATAAACCGTACCCACCTATTGAGAAGAAATTCAACAATTTCACGAATGCCTCCGTGACTCCCATAGAGGAAGATGAAACAAAAAATTCCAAAGCATTTTTAGTCGAAGATGAATACGAAAAAACTACTGGAAAATGTAAAGCTGAAGAAGAAAATGTAACAGAAAGCGAAGAAATAAGTGACGCAAATATGTTAGAAAAAGGATTCAGTGTAGACAATCATCACGAGAATATAGTGTACGATTCCTTGAGTTTTAATTCGGATGTAGCTAGAAATAATCGTAAGAACTTAGATAATGATAGAGAAATAGACGATGTGGAGGAGATTCAAGAAGAAGTCCTAGAATGTGAAATAAAATCTCAACAGCAGATTATGAGGTACATTCTGATTGTTGTGGCACTGTCGTTTCATGCTATATTTGAGGGTTTGGCCATAGGTCTTCAACACAGCATAGCGAATATCTGGTACTTATTTATTGCAGTTTCTATACACTCAGCAACCATTTTATTCTGCATAGGACTCGAATTACTACTGGCTAGAGCCAAAACGAAATTTATATATTACCAGATGTTAGCTTTAGCATTTGCTAGCCCCTTTGGTGTATTTTTGGGGCTTTTGGTGACCATTAAAAGTGATATTCAGACCAGAGCCAAATCAATTGCTGTGGTGTTTCTGGAAGGACTTTCCGCGGGGACTATTCTGTACATTACTTTTTTTGAAATTCTCAATAGAGAAAAAGAGAGAAGAGTTTATAGGATACCAAGAGCTATTTGCATACTAGCAGGATTTTTTTTGATGGCATTTCTACAGTCTTTAGAAGTATACGATTAGGATGCCGTGAAATTGAAACGCAGTCTAAGATAACATTGATCAAAAAAAGTAATCATAAATGGAATAATGGAATGGAACCCTGGTTAAACTGAAGAAAATCGATTTCGTTAGTGATAGTGTCATTCATAAAAATCAACTCTTTGTATTATTTTATCGATACATTAATTGAAAATGTTTATAATAAATTCACGAAATCAGTTGTGTGGTCTTTGTCATCTTTTGAACCTTAACTTAATTTTTTTTTTGTTGAAATTGCCGTATAACTTTCTCACATCCACAAAATTGTCAATTCGTTAAAAGTGGAATTCAACCAAATTTTGAAATACATAGAATAACTTTTCGAAAGTTTCTCTACGATTAATTTAAATAAATGCGTCCCTCAAACTGATGTCTTAATAATTTTTCTGCTACGCATTCGACCCCAGAGGACAAAATAGAATGATCGACCTGTCTATTTTCAAATCCGGTTCAGCGATATGATTCAAAATTTCGACATTACCATTCGCTTCGTGAATAGATAACTATATAACTAAATTATTAACTATTCATTCAAAAGTTTATGAATCTTCTACCCAAACATATGAATTCGACAATTCCACCTTCAATTCAAATTTCAATGAATATTTGATTTTCCGATTTCAATGAATATTTCTTTTATTATTAGTCAATGGCACTCCATCTAGTGGACGAGGTACTAACCAACTGCATATCCAGAATTTGCCCGATCTTTATTATTAGTCAATGGGCTATGCTTGATGACTGGTAGTAAACAAATCTAAAGAAATAAACTTCAAACGTTCAAGCCAGTCTCGAATATACCTACACAGTAGGTTGAATGGACTGACGCGTATCAGAAAACAACTATTCCTGGCTAATACCACGAAGGGTATTAGCCAGGGGATTCCTGCAGTCGAATTATATTCGATTGCAGGAATCCTGACAGAATATTTGCTGCATATACAACTGAAAAAGTCGACCTTCAATTTTGGAACGAGCACACTTGCAGGCCGGTTTCGAGCTCATTAGCCACTCATCAGTGCAAGATAGTGGCCATCATCGACCTAAAGTCAATGATATTCCATAATTGAAAATCGGAATTCTTTCAAAGTATTTCATTCCTCTTCCTAAGTTGGAGCGAACAACAAAATGCCACTTCGTCTAGTGGACGAGGTACTAACCGCATATCCGAAATTTGCCCGATTCCTTTGAATAAGGAAAACACCTTTCTTATTAGTCATTGGGCTATGCTTTTGTGAAGCATAGCCTTTTTGCTTTCTGTGAAGATTCCTGTACTGACGCCTATCGGATATAATCCAACACCCTTCGTGGTATTAGCCAGGGGGGTAGTTGATTTCTGATAGGCCTCAGTCCATTCAACCTACTGTGTAGGTATATTCGAGACTGGCTTGAACGTTTAAAGTTCATTTCTTTAGATTTGTTTACTGTCAGTCTTCAAGCATAGCCCACTGACTAATAAGAAAGTTTTCTTCCTTATTCGGAAGTGATATTTTGTTGTTCGCCCCGACTCAGAAAAAGTGATGAAATACTCTGAAAGAATTCCGATTTTCAATTGGGAATTGGATACACTGTTGTGATCTCGTAGAGGTAACATCAACTGAAATCGAAATGAAGTGAGAAGTGAAGTGCGATTTAGTGCGAGCGCTCAGTGTTGCGTTTATACAAAACACAGAGAGACTAGTTCTTTTCAGAACTGAGTGTGCGAAAGCACACCTAAAAAGAATACGACTACTTTTTTTTTCAGGTTTTTTAGGACCCTGCCCATTGAAAAATGGAGGAGGAAAATAAGAGGCTAAGGGAGGAGAACGTGGAAATGAGGACGGGCATCCCCCTCTGGGAAGAAGAATATATGAGGAAGTTCAAACGCTGCAAGAAAGCAATAGATGAAGTAAAAGCCAGGCTAGACAAAGCAGAAAAAGAAGGTAAGGAAAAGAAAACCCGAATAGCTGAACTAACAGAAAAAATTGCAGAAAAAGGGCGGAAAAAATCCAAAGAAAAGCGACAAAGAACAAGTAAAAACCATCCCGAAACATGGAGAAAAGGAAGAGACGAAAGGAAAAAATTAAAAACTCCCTGAAACAAGAGAAAAGGAAGACTCGAAGACGACCAAGAGGCCAAGAGCCCAGGAAGTAAGTACAGAAAGAGAATCAGACGAGGACGGTTTCCAGCCAGTGGAAATCAAAAAAAGCCGGAAAACAAGTAGGCGAACGGAATTATATAGGCAGATATAAAACTGTAAAATGCTTGCTAATGATATTAATATGTCTTGTTATTGGGATTTATTTATATTTAGACATCTGTTTTATATTGATAAAACATAACATATGTCAAAATCCAGTTTCTCTTTCGGATTCTTCCTCATTGAAAGAAATTAATGACGTCGATAAATTGATGGATATGCAGTTACTACGTGGTGGGAGATCACCATAAAAAATGAGAAATAAAATTTTCTGTTTTTTTAGTCACTTGGTAAAAAAACACAAAACGTTTGATTCGCCATTTTTCATGATAGTTGACGTCCGTAGAAACATAAACTACGCGTTGAAAAACGATTATTTTCAAAATGTAAAACTTTTCGAAACGAGGAATATGCATTTGATGAGAACGATTTCGTCAATCATATCAATCATACAGTTATCACTATTTGGCAGGCTTGCTAGTTTCACCCAATATATCTAATATTTATCTTCCTACTTCCTTTCATATGTTTCTGACATTTGATCTTTTCCAAATTTAGACAAAGTTCAAAGGTGGCAAGCTAAGAATAAACTGAAGGGCAAAGGGTAACTTGTTGAAACCCCCAGGAGATGGCTCCATAGCTGGTAGAACCGGCCTCAATCAATATATTCCCGCAAAGCTAGCCGGGATAAAATGTTCAGAATCGGCTTGCAGGTGAGATCCTTCACCGTGAAGGTTAGGAAAATTTGTTGATGCAGATTCTTTTCAGCTATGCTTCTTGTTGACCATTGGCTCAAACTTGGTGGAAAATAAGGTGATAATCAAAAGGAACATAGATAGTTCTGTCAAAGTATATTTAACAGAGGTATGTACATATTCACTCATTTTTTTATTATCATAGACAGTCAGTTCTGTGGAGAATACTTTGAAAATCAATGCTCAACAGTATTAAGGGGCTCTTGTTCAAATTTATGTTATGAATTTACATTTACTCGGTATTTAGGAATATACATGAATGTAATGGATTCTCAGATATTGAAAAGTGAGTGCGTTTTTAAAGTGTTGGAAATAACATGTCGAAACTGGAAAATCATAATAGAAATACGGCTACGTTTATTCCTTTTCATTTTATGATACTTCATACGTTTATGAAATAAACAGGGGTCTGACAAGCAAGAACCAATCTTCAACGTTGATTTTCCAGTGAAACATCACTTTCTTCCGCTCTCTATAACTTCACAGCACAGCCCATTTGCAAAGAGAGACAGAAAATAGTTTCGGATTCAGTGGATTACTTTGGAATTTTTACGAATCGTTATAAGATCTTATTCATCTTGGACTCATATGGTTGGACTCATATGGTTCCAACGTATCACAAGTCTATTAATTCCATTGAAATGAAAATTGTGTGCTCGGGATTCTATGAAGTCGACGAAGGCTGTTTCTGCCTGGTCCTGAGTGGCGAAAGTTTTACCGGTGAGAAAGTTATGGAAGTGCTTGGAAAGACGGTAGTGGATTGGCGGGAGGTCTGGACAGTATGGACAATAGGACTCCGCTGTGACGATTCGGCCCGGTTGCAGAAAGTTATAGTGAATCACACCAGTCGCTGACTACAATACAGCAACCATGTCTTTTATGATGGGTTTCCAATACATTTTTAACTATCAAAAATCGCATGGGAGCTGACGCACAGTTCTTCCGCCATTCCACGCACCGTTTGTGATGCGGGTCAGTCTCCAACAGGGTCCTCAAATCCTCGTCCTGGATTGCTCTAGGTCGATCACTTCAGGGTTCATCTTCGAAGTTAAAATCTCTGGAACGAATTTTTGCAAACCAATGTCGAACCGTGTGTTCATTTACACTATCATTTCTAAAGAAATGAACTTTAAACGTTCAAGCCAGTCTCGAATATACCTACACAGTAGGTTGAATGGACTGACGCCTATCAGAAAACAACTTCTCCCCTGGGTAATATCACGAAGGGCGTGGGATTATATCCGACAGGCATCAGTGCAGGAATCTTCACAGAAAATTTCCTGAATATGCAACTGGCAATACAACTGAAAAAGTCCGCCTTCAATTTTGGAACGGGCACACTTGCAGACCGGTTTCGGGTTCATTAGCCACTCATCAGTGCAAAATAGTGGCCATCATCGACCTAAAGTCAATGATATTCCATAATTGAAATTCGGAATTCTTCAGAGTATTTCATTTCTCTTCCTAAGTCACTCCATCTGGTGGACGAAGTACTAACCAACTGCATATCCGTTATTTGCCCGATTCCTCTGAATAAGGAAGAAAAACTTTCTTATTAGTCAGTGGGCTATGCTTGAATACTGGCAGTAAACAAATCTAAAGAAATAAACTTTAAACGTTCGAGACAGTCTCGAATATACCTACACAGTAGGTTGAATGGACTGACGCCTATCAGCAAACAACTACTCCCCTGGCTAATACCACGAAGAGCGTTGGATTACATCCGACAGGTATCAGTGCAGGAATCTTCACAGAAAATTTCCTGTATATGCAACTGTTGTGTCGCTCCAACTTAGGAAGAGGAATGAAATACTCTGAAAGAATTCCGATTTTCAATTATGGAATATCATTGACTTTAGGTCGATGATGACCACTATTTCGCACTGATTAAACCGGTCTGCAAGTGTGCTCGTTCCAAAATTGAAGGCCGACTCTTTCAGTTGTATTGCCAGTTGAATATGCAGGAAACTTTCTGTGAAGATTCCTGCACTGACGCCTGTCGGATATAATCCAACGCCCTTCGAGGTATTAGCCAGAGGAGTAGTTATTTTCTGATAGGCGTCAGTCCATTCAACCTACTGTTTAGGTATATTCGAGACTGTCTTGAACGTTTAAAGTTTATTTCTTTAGATTTGTTTACTGCCAGTCTTCAAGCATAGCCCACTGACTAATAAGAAAGTTTTTCTTTCTTATTCAGAGGAATCGGGCAAATAACGGATACGCAGTTGGTTAGTACTTCGTCCACCAGATGGAGTGACTTAGGAAGAGGAATGAAATACTCTGAAGAATTCATTTCAAAATGAACTACGGAAACTTCTATAACCATTCATATAAACTACATTAATCTGACATGAATTGGCAATAATTTGAAAATAATAATGAAAAATGTTTTGGAGATTTCATGAAAATAGTTTATGTGAATCCTGTCTTGCAAAATAAAATACAGTGTGGTCAAAAGCATGTGCGAAACAGTTGTTAACGTATACCGAGAGTAAACCAATTCAGACTAGACTTTCTAAGTTTTTTGTCTCTACTGGTTTCTAAAGGAAATTTTGGCAATTCACATAATATAACGAATAGGTTTGATTGGCCCGAAATTATATATTTATACATTTTTAGCTTGTTGAGATCATCTATTGCCAGATCTGTTGACTTACCTGGCTGGTACGCATATTGGCGTTCGTTGAGAGGGTATATTGATAACACCTCATCTCTTATGTATCTATCTATCAGTGTTTTGTGCAGGAAAGACACTAGACTAATTTGTCGGTACGGTTGTCATATCGTTTATCTTCCCTATCTTGGGTATGTAGATGACTCTGCCTTTTTGCCACTCATTCGGTATGTATCTCATGGCTATGCAAGCCTTATATATTCTACATAAGTATGGAATCAGTGGTTCCTTTTGAAGTAGGATGGGATATATTGTTGCGGCCGGAAAGTGTGTCTTGATGAGCATTTCTATGCTTTCCCCAAATGTTGTTGTGTAGGTATCATCGTCCTTTTTCAGGAACCCTATCTAGTTTATAGTACCCTCCTCAGCTAGCACTTTGTGGGTTCTCGAACAAGTGGGGGTATCCATTACCTCTTCACAAAATTTCCTCCACGATTGTCTCTCAGCCTTACTAATTTCTTTATTATACTGTGTGAATGTAGCCTTGTATTCCGCCCAGTCTTGGTTAATTTTAGCTTTGTTAAATAGCCCCCGCACTTCCCTTCTGAGTATTTCTAAGTGTTTTTTCCACCAGACTGTTTTGTTAAACTGTTGCCTTGTTTTCTCCAGACAGTTCGCCTCGTAAGCTGCAATTATTGCCTTGTACCTAATTGTGGTGGTGGGCAGATCTTCTCGCCTGGAAGATATGCTGAGCTTACTAACCAGCCTCTAGTGCCTTCCTCTGTTGACGTAGTCAGGATAGCTGTAACAATATCAGCGGTGCAGAGCACCGGGATTAGTGTGCAGTTTACCCTATTACTATATACGATACAAGCGCGAGGTTTTTTGCACCTTTTTTGTATAGTACCTTGTTGTAGTTAGTTTTTAAGCCTGAAACCCTGCCTCCATGTACCCAGGGTTCTTGCAGGAGGGCCACGTCCAGTCTGTCCTTGTCGAATCTCCTACAAACAACAGCGCTTGCCGCCTTGGAGTGGTGGAGGTTCACCTGCAGAACCCTGACCTTGGTTGTATTCAGCTCTGTGAACTGAGCTGCTCCTCTGCCTTATCCGAGGGTTCTCCCATCTACATGGGAATACCTGTCTCATTTGCTGCTTGCCTCTTGAGAGGGATCGTTCCTGACGGGTCTACTGTTTCTTCCTCGTGGATCTCTGCGATCCCAGGGGAAGGTTCTTCCACCTCTTCCCGGCTTGTGCCCTGTGTTGGGCTGTGTCTTCCCTCAACACGAAACTTTATTCTTCCTAGGTTATAATATGGAGACATATCACTTTCTGTAGCTCCTCAAAGAATTCACTGTCCATCGAAAACGCGCAAGTTTGGTCATTGCCCAATGGAGTTTTACCCCACACCGTCCACAGATCTGTGTGGAGCCCGTGATTTGCGTCTTTTAGCCTTCGCAGATTTTTTTCCGCTTCCGGTCTTTGTCCTCTATCGTCCGGGATGTAGGTGGTGCAGCCGATTGCTTCTGGAATATCCTCCCCTTCCAATACCTTCAGGGTTGCCCCTTCCCAGGGCTTTATGGTGGGTATAGCATCTCTGAGCCAATCTGCACTTGTGCGATCTGCGCACGTCATAACTAGGTAACCCGGTTTATGTGTGCATTTTGCAAAACGCACTTGAGGTCCCTCAGGTGGGATTTCGTCGTGGGCTTCAGAAATTGAGTCCTGGACTTTTGCTAGCCTCTCCAAACTCATTTTATCCTTTGGAAACCCCGCATCTGCCACAGCTACCTCAACTGAGGTGAGGGCATCTTTGAAGGAAACTCCTTCTTGCCTTGGTTTCTTCCTCAGCTGGCTTTGTTGTGGCGGTGTGCTGCTGCTGGAGCGAGGGCGTTTTGTGGATGTGCTCGTTCCAGCCTCTTCCATGCTTTATCAAATCTCTTTCGTCCCTTTCTTAGCCTCTTTTCCTGTCCTCTTCTTGGCCTTGTGGCCTTTTTCGGTTGCTGATTTTTCAGATAGTGTTCTCTTATGACAAGCCTCTGAGCGACTATGTAGTCGAGTCCACTTTCAAGTGTTTTTTGAGCCTCATTTTTGAAGCTCCGCCTAGATGAGCAGTTTTCACTTCTTCATCCGATAGTAGTTCTACCTCTTCTAGGGAGGATACAAGAACCTTGTATTTAGGTGCTTGCTTTGGGGCCTTAGTACCAAGCCCTTTTGGTTTCTGTGCGCGTTTGGGCGTGATCGCCTCTGTATCTTTTTTTTATTTTTTTTGAATCCATATGAATCCCACGAGTAGCTAGGGAAACTTAGTCCGCCGCGACAGAGCCCTGCATGCCGCGGTGAGGTCTAACCTAACAAATGATGCGACCTGGTGTCTCAGAGGTACCGTTTTCGACAGCTTACCCTGCTGCCATTCAGTCCTCAGCACGGTAACTCACACCTTGACTTGGGGGATTTTGTCAACTTGCCTTGTTTAAATCCGTTGTGTTCGGTTCACAGCCACACCTCGTACAGGGTGCTATTCTTCATAGCGCACAACGGTCTTGGGATAAGCATCCACGAGAGGCTGGTCTGACCTCCTCGGCTATTCTCCTGGAGTCAGTGACCTAGTGCCTGACTCCTCGACCCCCTTCTTCCTCTTAACTCTTGAATCAATTGCATGTGGTAAGGATGAAATTTGCTTTTTCGTATCATTCGAGACACGCTGGTTTGAGGAAATCCTAATTCCCTGCTCAGGTCTCGGGTACTCACATGGGGATTTTCAACAAGGTGAAGAGCAATTTGAAATGTATTCTCTCCATCTGTTACAGGGCAGACACGTTCGAACTTTTCGTGATTGACTTTACCAGTTCTTTCAAATCTTGTTTTTAGAGCATGAAATGCTCTTCCATCTGGATGTTTTCTTTCGGGGAACTAGATGCAAGGAGGCACTTTTCGTCACTTTGCCCCAAAGCATAGACCATTTGCACCATATCTTCCAATACATAAATCATAATGAAAATGATTCAGTCTACACGCAAAAGAAACTTCAACACATAGCGTTATTGACAAATTCCGAGATTCATTTTTTGGTGTCAGTCATGGATAACTGGGTTTTTAAAGAAAAACGCAGTACAAACATTCTTTAGGTTTTTATGCATTTGTTACCGTTGAAACCCCTAATATCTATCACTAGATGGTATGAAAAATGCTAATGTACTAGTGATTAGTTTGAATATTCGAAAAGCAAATTTGAGTAAGCGAACGTAATAAAATACATTTTTTGTGGTTATAACAATTACTAAAACTTGGTATAATTTATAAAATATCAGTTTTTCGTGTAATATAATTAGAAATTCGGAAACAAAAATTCTTTAGAGAGCTAAAAAAATATGGAAGCGAATGACATATTCATATAACTTTGGTTGGCTACGCTCGGCTGAATCACCCAGTATGCGAGAAAATAATTTTAAAGGATAGTATTCATCAATATTACTGCAAAAAATTGAGCAGTTCGAAAAAGTGTTTCAACTTATAGCAATAGACCGAGGGAATCTTTTTGACTCACCCTATACATACGCTTTACAATAATATTCCCATGTTTCAGTTTTAAAAAGAAACAACTAATGTTAACACTTTGTAAAAAGTAAAACAATTTTGCGTATCAGGTTGGCCCAAAAATATCAAAAATGTATCCTTAGACTCAAATTTTTACTGGAAACCTAAAAGAGAATATTTACTTATCCAATGACAAAAATTATAGTTTCGTCATCTTCGAGAAAAGAAATTTTGAAGCTCATTCATGAAAGCCATTTTGGTATAGAAAAATGTAAACTAAGAGCATGTCAGGTACTTTACTGGTCAGGATCAACAAAAGATGTAGAAAATGTAGTTCAAAATTTTGAAACCTGACGAACGTATAAAAAATAATAATGATAATGATAAATGCTTTTATTGAAAGGTTACTCTGTACAGGAGATACTAATCTAACCTAACAAATGATTTATTAGAATTTAATGGTAAAATTATTTTCTCATAGTGGATATATATTCCAATTGGTTGGAAGTAGCAAAAACGAAATCTAAATCAGCTGACGATGTCATCATCTTTTGTAAGGAACTTTCCTCTAGATATGACTTTCCTGATATATTTCATTCAGTCGAAGCTAAAAAGATTCGCTAAGGAATGTTCCTTTGAATTAATTTTCAGCAGTCCTTACTACCATCAATCAAACTGTCTTGCAGAGAGATATGTTGGTATCGTTAAAAACAAGTTGAGAAACTGAATGACGAAAATAATTTATCGTTCCCCATACCAAAACATCAAAACACTCCTTGTCCTTAAAATGATTGTTTCCCTGCCCAAATATTTTTACAGAGAATTCTGAAAACAACAAGTTCTACATCAGAAGAAAATCTCAAGACTTCCATCATATATTTCAATTCATATCAAAATGAATTACTGTATAAATATGCTCAACAAAAACATTACTATGATAAAACCGCTAAAGATTTAACAGCAATAAAAGTAGGAGATAATGTAATGGTACAGAATGATAAAACCTGGAGGAAAGGTCAAGTGAAAGATATAATTGATTCAAGATCCTACAATGTAGTTGATGAGACTGGAAAAACAGAAAATAATAAGACTCAGTTCACTGGTCCTTTTAATAATTTGCCTTTGATATATCATTATGAAGTTCATAATGACACTGGTCATTATCTTCCATGTGATTTAATGTTTTTAAGTCTATAACTTTGAAAAAATCTATATTGGAATAGTAAGAGTAGATGATATTCTATTGTTTACACCAAAAACATACTGTGCTTATCAAAATGTTTTCCTTTCATCAACAAACACACAAAATTAGTAGATATACTTTTTTTTCAAATTTCCTCAAAAAAACTATTAAAACTCGTATTGGAAAATCTTAATCTGCAACTTCTGAGATAATCTATATAGGAATAACAAGTGCAAACAATGGATACAACTCAGACCAAGTTTCTTTCCTATTTGAAATCAGTGAAGTTTACGAAATTAAATAAATGTAAGTACGGACAGACAAAAAAATCTATTGAAATAAGATATACACTTAGCAGACTCAAAATATGGAAGACCAGAAAAATCAGCAGTCGCCCATCATATTTTGCAACAAAACCATTCAAAAAACTCTATTGAAATAAGATATACACTTAGCAGACTCAAAATATGAAAGACCAGAAAAATCAGCAGTCGCCCATCATATTTTGCAACAAAACCATTCCATAGATTTCAGTTCATTAAGATTAGTTAGACAAGTTAACAACAGGCATGTAGATGCCTATGCGAGTGTGAAAATAGGTAAACATAATAATATTATGAATAACGATAGTGGACCAATACCTAATATAGCTCTTTAAAAAAATATTTTAATTATTAGATTCACCTGACTGTTATGTAAGGACACATTGAAAAATTAATTCAAGACTATCAGATAAGGCAATATTGTGAAATTAATTTAAGACACTCAAGACACCTAAAAATATTCACAAGAAAATGCGCTCAGGCAATATTCCCTTTTATTTGGAGGGATTTTCAGCAACTAGCCAGTTTCTATATATGCCGTTCAGGAAACAACAAAAACACTAAACTAAATTCAACAGGTAGAATTCTAACCTCTGGCGTAAAATAAATCAATCAAAAACACAATTTACAATGCACAGCTAACTCTTCAAATTTAATTGGAAACAAATTTTTTTTTTCAGAGAATCTGCTGGTGGAACGAAATCTGTAAAGAAGAATTTCGAAGCCAATTTCGTTGTAAATGTCCTGAATGGTCGTACTGCAGAGCCCCTGGAAAGTACTATAATGCTTTTTGTACAATGACAACAACGGGTTACATTTGGCAACAACCAGGTTGGAGAGAAGCTGCTGAAAGTCAATCCTGAATGTGTTTTTCTCACTGAATTACTTTGTTATTTATATAATTCTTTTGTCAAGAGTGAATATTTGAAGAATGTGGTTCCATTGATTATTGTCCCCTAATATAATTCCGACCGAATTTTGTATTGATGATATATTCAATTAAATCTCTCAAATGCAGAATCAATGTAAATGCCCGAAGATTCAACTACTCGTGAATTTGCAAAAGGTTTTGAGAACTATTCAGAAAATAAGGAAATAGTGTTTCCAAATGGGCAAATATTCGGATATTTTTCACAGCAATTGAATAATACTTGTATACTTTACCATCGAGTTGAAGAATGTGTTCCATTAAGTGACATGGATACTTCACTTATCAATACTGGTATTGATAAGTAAAGGTTTCACTAAAAATCAAGAATGATTGGTATTTATTGTCAAGAGTTCATAGTATTATTTCCTCACATATAAGTACAGTAAATACTCCAAAGATGGATTCCAGGAGGAGTAATGGAGGTAATTTCCCCACCTCTCGACATCAAATGAAAGGTAGAACTGGAGCCGCGGGCGTAGAATAAATCCAAAAGCAAGCACTGTTTCCAAACATCAGAACTGCCACACAATTAGTGTAGGAACAGAAGTTCACTAATTCCTCACTCTAATACTAGTCTCTATTCAATTCTAACAGAGTACATTTTCACTTAAACTCATACACAATGTTATTTGAATCTCAATGTTTGATCTAGTATCAAACCCAAGTTCTTTGCACTCTCACTAAAAGGTATTGTATCATTTCCCATCCTCAGTATATAGATGGAGTAGTAGAAAGCCAAAAACTTTCTTTCCCAAAAATTAATCACTCCTAAAAAATATAACCCCTTCAATTCAAGATATATTATTCCTGACATTGTCATTAGAGAACAAAATAGCACACGACTTTTGAGGATTTATTTTGAGTAGATGTTTATCACATATGTCTTTTGAAGACTGTGAGTCGATATTTATTTCTCTGTTAGTTTGCATGATATTATCGGGTTTAAAGGTTTTATACATCTGTGTGTCATCAGCATACATGTGATAGTTACAATGCTGCAGAGCCTCATGAAATGTTGCGACAAATAAGGTGAACAGAAGAGGACCCAATATGCTACCCTGAGGAACACCGCATGAAACATTAGAAAAATTAGAAGTTTCATCATTCAGAGTAACACGAAGAAGTCTATTTGATGAATATGAATTAATAAGTTTGCAAGCATTTTGGTTAAACTTCAAGTAGTGAAGTTTAGATAGGAGAATTATGTGGTTTATCAAATCAAATGCTTTTATAAAGTCCACCAGAATGATGAGTACAGTTGCTTTACTTTCATTAATACCTTTAATGTCATCCGTTATATTTGCAAGTGCACTCACACAACTGTAACCAGGTCTGAACCCCGATTGCTTTTAAGGAAGAATTTTAGATTGTTCAACAAAGATTCATATTTGTATTTCCATAATTTTTTCTAGAACTTTGGAAGTAGGAAGAATACTAATTGATCTGAGGTGATTGGTTGGTTCACCTTCGGCAAGGCAACTATGTTGTTCATTTTCCAGGCAGAGGGAAAATCAGACTTTAAAATACATTCATTCATTATATGTGTTATATATGGAATTATAGTAGGGCAGCAGAAGTGTAAAAATGTGATGTTGACTCGATCGGTACCAAAAGCTTCAGAGCTGATATTGTAAATCACATTCGATACCGTTGTTTCGTCAATGTGTTTGAACAAGAAGCAGCTATTGATGCCATTTTTTAAGTTTTCAGAATAGAAATCATTAGGCTTCAACATGTTTTTCGAAATATTCGTAAAATGATTATTCAGTTGGTTAACGTCGCTCAGATGCTTTGGTATTTTCCTATTTTTATTTTTGCAGATGTTAGTTTCTTAAGTTCATTCCATTTTTCCTTTGATGAACAATTTTTAAATTTAAACGTCAAAAATGCTTTTTTTTCAGATTGTATTGCGCAAGAAGTATAATTCCTCAATTGTTTGTAGCAGTCCCAGTTATGGGCTTGTTTAGTGCATTTGAAATTTTTCAATGCCTTATCTCTTAGTTGTTGCATATATTTTATATTATCTAAGTATTTTCCCATAATTTTTTGCCTATTTTTATTCATTTTTCATTTCAGGTCACAGTAATTTATTTTTTATAATCAGCGCACTCACCCTCGCCAATATTTCGATCCTGGTATTTAAATATTTCATTCATTTTTTCTCATAGATTTCAAATCTTGTCAACACTGTTTTAGAGAACGGAAGTCCAAACCAAATGAGTCAGACCAGTGAAATAATCACATTCAGATTTTATGAACTTTGACTAATGCGGGTTCAAACTGATTTTCCTCCGCTACCTGATTGACATTAGAATGCAAGTCATGTTATTTGAGAAATGATTGTGTTTCTGTTTTCGATGCTACGATCACGAATATTTCATTTATATAGGTGAGTGGGAAAGTAGGAATTCAAATAACGGGGTGATAATTGAAAATACTTCTCAATACTACTTACTCACATATGTATATATACAATCGATCGCTTCAAAAACACGTTACTAACTTTCTTCAAAAGCATCTGATAATTCCTCTTCCATATTCTCTGTTTC